ATGGACTAATCGGAGATCTAAAGATACAATCTCTACTGTGCATCAATGGCGGCCCGCTGGATCTCAAAAAGAGAGATTCAATAAAAATATATATAAATTTAATGGCAAATGGGATAAACCCATAAAAAAGGACAGATCTGGTGTCGAAGTAAATGTTATTGGGGCCATTGAATTTAATGTTTCAGAACCCTAAAATGGCAGCCATTTTAAAAATTCAAGATGGTTGGCATAAATAAAATTCTAGTATAATTCCACATTTCCTTTATGAAAAAATGTAAATTTGGGTCTAATCATATGATTTTGAGCTCTCTGAGTCCAAAAAACATGGTTTAAATTGCACTTCTCAATCAAAAATGGTAAACAACTTGGTGTGTACTCATATTATAAGCATGGTTTCAAAAAGCAGGGGTGGCAGCCATTTTGAAATTCAAAATGGCCGCCACAAAAATCTTTGAAAATCAAATATTTTTCTTTTATAATTCTACTTCTCGATTTATTGGACTCTACGAGTACCGTATAATATAAAAACTCTGTAAACTTACTGGAATAATTCAAAATGATTAACACAATGACGTTGATATTCCATCTTTCTCGTCATCAGAAGACGTATCCTCAATTGTTTTGTCAATTGATCTGCAAGTATAATATCTCTTGGCAGGTTTAGCTCATTGTTTCTCTCTGCATATTACACAATATCCACTCACAGCTTATCGGTTATGTATGCTATGTAGTTGACCCGTTTAATGATTTATTATCATTGTATATAAACATTAATACAAACTTGCAAGATTTTCTATGTTTGAGTGGGTAAGAGCAATAGAATTTCCACAGCACAAAAACAAAATATTTGATTTTTGACAATTTTTGTGGCAGCCATCTTGAATTTCAAAAGCTTTGCTTTATGAAACCATGTTTATTAGAATCAGAGAGCACAATGACATGATTAGACACAAATTAACCATTTTTGATTGAGAAGTGGAATTATAGAAATAAAATATTTGTTTTTCAACGATTTTTTGGCGGCCAACTTGTGGTTGCCATCCGAACTTTTTAAAACCATGCTTATTAAAAATGAAAGGGAACAATAACATATGATTAGATTCAAATCTACCACTTTAAATTGAGGAGGAGTGGAATTACACTGAAATTACCAATTTTTTACAATTTTTACAGCGGCCATTTTGAATTTTGAAATGTCTGCCATTCTAGGTTTAGAAACATGTTTCATTAAATGCAATGACCCCAATGACATATACGTAGACACCAGATTTGCCTTTTTCATTGAATATAAGTTATGAGCCAATATCTAGGAAAAAAAAGTGTTCCGCCCTTTTTCTGAAGCTCACTGCCCCCCCCCCCCCCCACCACTCAAAATTTTTATTTATACCCCAGTGAAGCTAAATTAGTAGAGAAACCTTGGTCCCCGAAAAATTATCATGGGGCCCTGATGTTCAATACTAATGTATATTAGCTATGTCTTTATTCTCCAATCATGTGTGCCGATTGCCTGTCGCAACATGTGATTTGTTTATTTTCTAAAAGTACTTACAGTTTGTTTCTATCTCATGTATTATCTAGTATGAGATACTATCTGCAGTATCATATCGAAAAATACACTGTGTATTCTACAAATTACTATTGCTGCTCAGGTTGGGCCGAAGACGCGTCTAATAATTGTACAATCCGTAAGTCTGTAAAGTCTTATCTGTAATTAACTTAATGCTTAACAAAATTGTCCATTTGACTATTAGACAGTATAATCCAGTATAATCCGTTATGTTTCTGCATTGTAATTTATGTTGTTTTACTCGACTAACACTATTCTTTATTTGGATGTATAAACAAGCTATCTGTAATCCGGATTGTGGTATTGGAGGGACATGCATCCGACCTAACGTATGTTCTTGTAATCCTGGATTTATCAGGCCAACGTGTGCAGGTAAGAGTGATATACCTTGAAATAACAACATTTAAAACAAATTATTACTTATACAAAAACAATATCAGGATTTCAAAGAAAACCAACGATTTATAGGCATATGCCAGAATACAGTCTTGACATCCTAATATATTTACATATTGAGGTTTAACATATTATTTTGTATCAATCGTTTTCAGATAAAAACGAATGTTTGGAGAACTATGGGGGATGTAACCGAACCACTGAAAGTTGTGTCAACACTGACGGTAGTTTCTATTGCGATTGTTTCACGGGGTTCGCTAGGAACAGTAGCACCGGGATTTGTCAACGTAAGAAATGTTATTTGATTATTACTTGAAACAAATATGTCAACATATAATGTATATATATATATATATAATCACATCTAGATGTGTATAAGAGACAGCAGGGGTTTCTCTTTATGCCTCATATATATATATATATATATATATATATATATATATCATGATACTGTATAATAATAGAAATAAACTGTCTTGCTGTATATGTAAATAAATGTTAAACCTAAAAGAAGAGGAATCCGCTAGTGTGAAAACAAGAAAAAAATAGGTTCCCCAAATCGGCATTCGAACCCGGGACCTTTAATGCAGACGCCTTAACCAACTAGGACATTGATGCTTTGTTGGGAATTCAAATCCGATTAAAAACTGTTCTTCTGGTCATGGTTCTGTAAAATTATAGCTGGATTATTTTTTTTCATTTTAATTAGAACCAACAGGGATAATAATAATAATAATAAATATTACCTCAGTGACGTTTCTTGTCCAATCAGGTACATTTCCTCAAACGGATTATATGTTGGGATTGGTCTTATCCGGGCGTTGATGTTTAGTACGCCTTCTAACGTCCGATGTTTGACAGTAGCACGTTCCCCTATATGGAAAAATAAAGTTAATGTTGAGTGATGAAAAAGTATAATGGCAGGTTAAAATCAAATCCGACAAAGAAATACAAAGGAAAATTAATTAAAGTGCTTGGAAAGCTTCATAATGAAAAGAAGATTAGTTATAGTCTTATAGTCAAAAACTGAAGTTATACCCTACAGCAGAATTGACTCCAAGAATTTATTGCCTGCCGAAAATTCATAAAGAAAATTGGCCGTTGAGACCAATGGTCGACAATATAAACAGCGTTTATTACAATGCCTCCAAGTTCTTAGCGATGAAACCATTGGTGGGGCAAACACAGTTTCATGTCACAAATTCGAAGCAGATGGCTAAAGAATTAAAGGATATTGTGGTGAGTGAATACGACACAATGGTATCTTTTGATGTGATTTCCCTTTTCACAAAAGCTCCCATAGAACAGGCTTTAAGATTGGTAAACTCTACTGTCGGACTCAACACTACCACAGAGAACGAATTTAAACGTGGAAAGCATTATGGACCTACTCACACAGGTGATCAACGCAACATATTTCTCCTTCAAGAACAATATATATATTCAACATGAATGAATCGCAATGGGATTACCAGTTAGCCCCTAATCGCAAATATATACCTTAAATGGTTAGAGCAGACAGCAATAAAAAAAAATGCATCTGAACATATCAAACCCAAGTATTGGAAGAGATATGTGAACGATATTTTTGCAATAATTCCTCGTGATGCTGATAAGGCACTAAACGACCATTTAAATTCAATCGATACAACTGGTAACATAAAATTTACCACTGAACTAATGACGAATAATACGATCGCTTTCCTTGATATGCAAATTGTAAAGCGTCAGAACGGCAGTCTATCGACAAAAATATACCGTAAACCAACACATACTGAACAATACTTGAATTTTCTCTCAAATCACCCCCTGGAACATAAATTAAGTGTTGTAGAAACGTTGATAGATAGAGCAAAAGTAGTAGCCAGTGAACAAAATGAAAAGCAGAAAGAAATACGGTAAACCACATGAAAACAGTACTTGGTAATTGTAATTACTCAAAATGGACTAATAACAGAGTAATCAAGAGAAGAAAGGAGGAAAAACAAAAGGCGATTTCCGGAATTAAGGAGGATAAGCAAAGACAGTGTTGGTTTGCTATACATAAAAGGGCTATCTGAGAAAATTAGAAGAATAGTGCATCAGTAGAAAGCAAATGCATTCTTCATTTCTATTAATAAAATCAAACAAGGCCATCCGAAAGACAAAATAAAAAAAGAAGATAACTGTGACCTCATGGTCTAGTTTAATCATGCTATCAAATGGGATGTTAAAATTTGGGAAAAAGAAAGTAAATCAGAAAAAAGGAAAATAAAATAAGTCATTTTCATAAGAAAACAACTTAAAAACATGAACAGAGATGAATTCTATAAACAAACTGACGGCGTTTCAATGGGCTCACCCGTTGGACCAGTTTTAGCCGATATTTTAACGACTGAACACTGAACTAGAAGAGTCTATTGTTCCTAAACTTATAGAATCAGGTATTATTAAGTTTTATACTCGTTTTGTTGACGACACACTATTTCTAGCTAAGCCTAATGATTTTTATCACATCCTACGTCACTTAACGCTTTTCACAAACAGATTAATTTTAAATTTGAATAATTTGAAATCAGTGATATAGTACATTTTCTGAATTTACAATTTGACAACCGTGTAAAAATACACATACAGGTCAATATATCATCATGATAGCTTTGCCAGATGGAATCATAAGATTTCTTGGATTCGTAGTTTAGTTTCAAGAGCCCACAAACAGTGTTCTCCCGATAAACTTCAAGCTGAACTTTGTAATATTAGAAAAGTTATGTCATGGAATGGGTATCCTTTAAAAGTTGTTAACCATGTTCTCAATAATTTAAATGAACCTAAATGTATACATAGGCCTACTGACTCGATAGCTTGATTAAGATTTGGGTTAGATTGCCTTATCTAGGAAAGGCAGGTGAATCCCTTTTACGTGGATGCTTAAACAAAGTAAAGAAACATTTAGTTAAAGAGGTAAAATTCATAACATTATGGCAGTACAAAAATGTCTCATTTTATATCTACTAAAGATCAAACCACTAAGGTATATAGGAGCTTTGTTGTTTATGATTTTAAATGTCCAGGTTGTAATAGTGATTATATTGGTAAGACAGATATAATGCTTAATAACTAGACTTAAAGAACATTCTTCACGATCTGATAGTGATATAAATGATAATATACACAATTGTGAGGCATTCCAATATGTTTTAGGTTTACAAGGTACACTTGAAAATGATAATGTAGCCTGTAATGTAAGTAATATATTAGGTTTAATATTTTCTAATACTAACATTATTGACAGTTCGCAAAATTGGTCTATACTATTGTTTAAAAAAGCGTTTGCTATACGTAGGCTACACCTAATGTATAGTACATACTTAACAAGTTTTTGTAGGTACATTTGATCAGTAGAGTAAGAATGCTTTGATCTTTTGTTTAAATCACTGCTATGTCACCTACTAGAGGTAATGTTTTGATTGGTTAAACACTTTTGGTACTAGTGCATATAAGCTTGCTAATATGGATATTTTTTTCATTCCTGATGATGACATAATTAATGTCGAAATATTGAATCCCAACACGATGGCGTGCATTTCATATTATACTATCTTATCTGAGATTAATCAGTGGACCTTTCAGAGATATAGGGGGTATGAACTTTCGCAAATTTATGAAAACTTAATCAAAAAAGCAAAGGGAGGGGGCCGAGAGAACGTGCTACCGTCAAACACCGGACGTTAGAGGGCGTAACTAAACATCAACGCCTGGATAAGACCAATCCCAACATGTACCGTAATCAGTCTGAGGAAAGGTACCTGATTGGACCAGAAACGTCACTGAGGTAATATTGGTTCTAATAAAAATGAAAAAATAATCCAGTTGTTCTTCTGTTGCTTCATTTTTAAAAATTACTTAAAACTCACATTTTCCATCATTAACGTGCACAGCTCCTTTGATAATTCAACTCGATCGTTTAAGTGACGCTTTATAAATTTTTATATTAGTATTATTATCAAAGCAACTAATTCTTCACACTCATGCGCATGCGCAGTAAGACAGTACAATCACTTGATACATGGCAAATAACAGATATCAAAATG